TGTTTTTATCTAAATTATCAATTATTTAAAATTTTATTAAAAGTTTAAAGTGTATTTTCTCCAAAATTTTGCATCAATAATTGTCATCTTATATATCCTAGCAAATATCCCACCGTGATTCAATCTTTTTGAGCAAAACTACCCCTGGAACCTCGTCTGAAAAGACGTTATTGTGATTTAGTTAACAACTTCAAGTTGGTTTTATCACCCGCGTTGAGTTTGAGGGGAATTGTTAGTATAATTAGAATTATTATTGTAGAGTTATATTTGGATTAGCTGTGTTAGTTAGATTGTAAACCAATGCTTCTTTTGATTTGTCATTGCAGTCTTATTTTCATGTTTCTTTTTATTCCTCGTGCTTCTGCTGCAAAGGAAAACACCATTAGCTATTGCTCTTATTTTTTGTTGCAGTTTTATTTTTGGCGTTTCTCCATCTTTCGCTCGGTTCCACCGAGACGGAAAATACCATAAATCACTGATTTTCACATGTGAATGTACTTTTTTAGACTTGTCTTGTTTTTTGTGTTTCTTCTTCCTTATCGCGCTTAGTTCGCTAAGAGAACACCATAAATCACTGTTGTCCTACATTAACCATAGTGCACAACGTTCCAATCAACATTCAAATCAAGATAACATCAAGATCGTCGTTATCTATTCAATTGATCAAAACCAGTCAATTGTCGGAGTTGTCATAAATTTTGCACGGATTCAAGCGCCGTGCATTCTGACGTGCCTCATCTGAAGAGACGTCATTATGATTTAGTTAACAACCTCAAGTTGGTCTATCACCTGCATTGAGTTTGAATGGACTGTTAGTATAATTAGAGTTATTATTATAGAGTTATATTTAGGTTATGGGTTTTAGTTAGATTGGAACTAGAGATATATCCCTTATTATAAATAGGTGCCACTATGATATAATAACAAACAAATCAAGTTTATCATACTAATTTTCAAAATATTCTGACAATAACAATATGAGCTTTTTAGTAATTTGATATAACATAGGGGTATCGAATGCAATAAACTCACAAATAGGACCACATCGAAATTTAATAATACTCATATTTAATTTGTATATGAAAAACATACCCTTTTATTTCTTCAAAATTTTCATGTTTGACCATTGCGGAGGTACTTCGTTGCTTGTTTTTATGTATATACATCTCTCGTAGGACCAACAATTGAGCCGCATCTGTCTGAAGCCCGATTGTTCGGCCCAATTTTATCTGAGTCGAAAATAACTAACTTGTGTGCCAGTACGAATTTGAACTATTTTATTAAATCCTAAAAGTTTATAAACTGAGTTTGAGTTTAGTATAGTTCAACCTGAATAAAGCCATATCGAATTAGACATTTAAATATTTATTAAATTTATTATTTGACATATATTTATTAATATTTATTTTATACAATCAACACTAATTCTACAAAAACACTTTCGTGATAAATGAAAATTTAAACTTACACAATTAAAGAATTCAAAACTCTTTTAATGACAAAAATTTACATTTTTCATTGATTTGAATTTTAAAATATATCTCTTATTAGTTATTATTTAGAAATGATTAGAAAAACTAATTCATAAAAAACTCATTTTTATGCAATTTTATGAATATATGTACTACATGTACTATGTGCACGAAATGTTAGAAAAACAGTGTTATAAGTTCATTTAGAGTCCGATTTATACCTGAAGTTCAAAATAGTATATGAGTCGAGTTTGTGCCCATGGTTATAGAGTTTTCCGAAGATATTTGAATTTGAGGTTTTAATCGTTAAGTCCAATGGTATTTGAGTGGGAGTCTACTAAGGCTCGACTCACGTGACGCTATTGCCAGTTGACACCCCTAATTTCTTATGTCAAATTTCAAATACCCTCAACTGAAATTTTGGATTCGTCAATGTGGACACCTTATAAACACGTGGCTATTTGATAAAACCCCCTCATTGGATCTTGACTTCTAGATACATTTTTTGTAATTGATATTGGACATAAATCCAATCAACCCAAAATACCTTATATGCCCTAATAACTATTCCAATAAATTCTCAAAAAAAAAAAAAATCTACTGATAAATACAGATCCCCCTAATTAATAGCACCAAAAAATCCTCCAAAAAATTATGCCCCTAAATCACGCTCCAAGTCCACTAAAAAATATCGTCTGTCCACCGTTTACACCAAGGCCACCCAACAATGGAGATTGTTGTTCTAAGGGAAGAAACGGATTAGAGACTAAAAACACCTTTTTCTTTAGGAAGTCACAGTTATTCGTAATTGTTAAGCACGGCAAGATGGTTCAAAAATCAACGGCAAAAATTATTTAATTAATGTCCTGTGTTTGTTGATTTAAACCGATTAGTTAAAAATTGTTACATGATTGTTCTTCGTTTATTCTGCATGTGCTTCTCGCCATTCCCAAATTATTCCAGGAAGGAGAAAATCGGCGACACATGAAAACCTCTATACAACTATATAAACATGAAAATCACTCTGTATAAACATCTATATAAACATGAACCACTATGTATAAATAACTATATAAACATGAAAATCACTTTGTATAACAGCTACGTAAATATGAAAACCACCATGTATAACAACTACGTAAACATGAAAACTACTAGGGCCGGTCCGGCGTAATCGGGGGCCCGGGGCGAGAGTATAAATATTCAGTAGTTCGGGGGTAAAAAAGAGTAAAAGGGTAAAAAAAATTCACATTTATTTTTAAAGTAAATTTATAAAAAGAAAAAAGAATAAAAGAGTAAATTTTTTTTTGATAAAAGTAGAAAATTAATTTTTTTAAAACCATAAAATAATTTTTACACATAAAAATACATAATACATATATTAAAAATTTAAAATTTTGGGCCCCTTATGAAATTGGGCCCTGGGCGTGGGCCCTGCTCGCCCCACCCCAGGGCCGGCCCTGAAAACTACTTTGTATAACAACTATGTAAACATGAAAACCACTCTGTATAATTACAAATTCGTTTTCTTGCTCGGATAAACAACAATATAATGTTCAAGCAAAACAAACATGTTCATACATCTACGACTCTCTCGAGATAAATCCTGATTGAGATGTTGGGCTTTGAAATCTATTTATAAAGACTGATATTTTTTGGGTTGATAACTCTATAAAGTGAATTGAACAATATTAACCCCTATTGCGGCCAGAGATCTCTGTAGTGCCAAGTGTAGGTAGAATAGAGAAATGCATATTGAGAGAGAGAGAGAGATTAGTTAAGAACGTGTTATTTAAGATATATATGGAAAAGATATTATATATCTTTTAATATAAAAATTAAATATACGTAATTTCTTAGTTAGGGGTAAAATGGTGATAATTAATTATTTTTAATTGATAAAAGTTGTTTTGTATCTATGTTAAAAATATAAAATAAAATTGAGCTCATTGTAATGACACTTGTGTAATGGGGGGCTTTTGTATCTAGTCTGTTTTTTCTGCCGCAGGTTCCGGCGTTATTTCTTAGTGTTTTTCCCTAAAAATTTATCCATTTCTATTTACGCCCGCCGCTGAATGTTGACAGTAATTGTACTGTCATTAACATTAATTATATTGTCGCTGATAGTAATTGTACTGTCATTGACAGTACAATTATTCCCAACGACAATATTATTATTATTTTGCCTTTTTTTTTTTGTTTGATTTGTTGACAAGTCAACGTAATTATATTAGTGTTGTTAACGGTAAAATAGCTATAAACACAATAATATTACTTTAAACCACAATATTATTTTTTTGGCTTTTTTTGTTTTGTTAGAATTGTTGACGGATTAACGTAATAATATTACTGTCTACTATTGTAATATTACTATAAATACAATAATATTACTGTGGTTGATGGTAATATTTCTGTTGTTATAGTAATATTATTGTTAACCACATCACTATACATTAAATCTTTTGTCTTTTTACTATGTTTACCTTTGTTGAACGGTCAACATATTAGTATTACTCTATTACGCAATAATAATGATTTTTGTTATTAATATTATTGTGCTATAAATTAATATAGCAATATTAATGTGTTAAACCGTAGTATAATTAATATTACTGTGTTTAACAGTAATATAGTTGATATGGCTGGCAACCATAACATGTTTAAACGGGGCTAACAGATGTTAAATAATAAAAAAAAATCAATAAAAAAAATAAAAAAAGTGACCGGCGTTAAGCGGCCGGAAACCGGCGGAAAAATCAAGAGAAAAAATAAGTCAACGCCGGAGACCGGCGGTCAACGGCGGCGACGGGCGAAATTGTACTCAAAATTGAGTTTTTGGTCAAAATTGGATAGTTTGTGAAATTTGTGGTCAAATTGAGATTAAGTTAAATTACATTAAAGAATGAAATTGGAGCATATTGAAATGTGAGGCACTAGTTTTGTGTTTTACACGCCTCTGGACAATGTACGGATCTTTTTGTAAAAGAGTTTTTTGTCTAGACCTCTTTATGAATAAGTATCCCATGATGGGCTTATTTGTAATGCGCTCTTAAAAATATGATAGATTACGGTCATCCCTGAGATAAAAAAATCAAATTACGAAAAACCCCATTTTGTTTGGGTTATTACAACCCCTTCAACTAATTTTTTTTATACGACCACCTTTATGGTGTCAAATTCAATATATCATCTTCTAGGTTTCGTGAAATGTTATCTAATTTGTACTCATTTTGTGCAAAAATGCCGTTTCTGATGCACCACAATCTGATAACTTCAAGTCACAAAACAAATTTTATGATCATCTTATTTCAAAATGTGGAGTTCTATGAGGTAAAACAGATAGAAATTGAAGAATATTCTGCATAATTTAGAAGATTCCACTAAATTCAGCACCACAATGATAGACATTTAAAAAAATTCATAATTGAAGATGGTTATAATTACCCACACATAAATAATTTCTTCATAATTTGATCTTAGCTCTGGAGTGGCCGTAATTTATCCCTTAAAAATATAAAATAGAGAACTTTGATTATTGATGCAGCCCCACATGTGGTGATGTGGGCGTCAACAAAATCAAAGCCATCCAAGATTTAATAAATTCCGGCAGGTCGTACAATTAAGACTATATATACATATGTAGCTCCATATTTTCAGCAAACCACCCACCCCAGTACACGTCACACTCTGTAACATACATACATGTAAACCTATATATATTTTCGACACTACTAATTAATACTGTACTTCACAGCTTCATCAATATTATTATTATTACAGTAGGCCGAGAAATGGGGCTTATGTGGAAAGCCCTTTTTATCTCTGCAGCTTTCTTGTTTTTTCATGAGGCAGACGCTGCTGCGGCGGCGGCGGCCGAGCACCACCGCAGCAACGGCAGCAGCCCCTCCGCCGCCGCCGTCACCAGAAAGCTGGCGGCGGCTGCGGGGTGCAACATATTCCAAGGGAAATGGGTTTACGATTCGTCGTACCCACTCTACGATTACTCAACTTGTCCCTTCATAGATGATGAATTCAACTGCCTCAAGTACAAAAGACCTGATCGAAACTATCTTAAGTATAGATGGCAGCCTTTTTCATGCAATCTCCCCAGGTAATTTTCATATATACATATTATTGAAGATATTAATATTAAATGATACATTTCAGTAACAACTTAATATTTTTTGTTGAAATGATCATTCAACATATATATCCGTGCTGTGTTTTGAAATAATTAAGTTCTTTGATTTGCAAATTGAATTAATTAATTGATGTTATTTACATTAATTTTGCAGCTTCAATGGGGTGAGTTTCTTGGAGAAATATAGAGGGAAGAAGATAATGTTTGTGGGTGACTCACTGAGTTTGAACATATGGCAATCGCTGAGTTGCATGATTCACTCGTGGGTGCCGAACGCCAGGACTTCACTCATTAAGAGACAAGGCCTAGCTGAACTCACATTCCTGGTAAGTTCACTATTTTTTTTAATTTTTTTTATATTTTTATATTTTTTTATTATGATTTTAATGCATTTTTCTATTTATTTCATTAATTATCAAGCACACCTATAAAAATTTCACGAGTTAATCGCCATAAACTCAATGAGTTTGTTTTGTATTTTCAAATTCTCCATCAATTCAAACAAAGCCTAGCTAATTTATATTTATATTTTATTATTTTTTACTCCAATTAATTTCAACTACTTTGAATATTAATTTTGCTATACAATTATGGCTTTACATGGTGCATGACTGTATTAGTTTTTGTCCCCTTTTCAATTTCGGAAGGTAAAGTTTTCAAAGTGTATTAATTGATTTCTGCCTAATATATATATATATATATATATATATATATATAAATATATATATATATATATATATATTTTTTTTTTTTTTTTCTTTGCTGCATGACTTGTAGTAATGCTTTTAGATATTTTAATATTTGCTTTTGAAATTAGGTGCTGTCAGTTGGTAATTGGGTTAGGTTGGGGGGGAAGTGGATAATCTTTTAAATAAAATGATGATACTTTGATACTGAAAAGGTGAAAACATAGCCATAGGCCCACAAACTCAAAAAAAAAATATAAAAAAAATATAAGATTTAATTATTTATAATTAAGATTCGAAATTGCGTAGATTTAATCATTTAATTTGGTTATATAATTATTTGAAAGTTGATTTTCTATATGATTCGAAATCAGTTTTGTATGATATGTGGTTTCGAATTTCATGGCATGCTTGTTCGTTTAATTTATCTGTATGCACTAATTTCGAAACATGTTTATGCATACGTTTGAATAGTGTTATTTAATTTTGAATTCAATAATATGCATGTTTGTTCTTGCAGAAGCGATTAAGGTACATAATTAATTAATTTAAATACGCATGTATATTTAATCACATGAACTCTTTTTATGTGATTTTTTATTTTCGTTGCGTATACGTGCATCAATTTCACTACAGCCAAACGGCATCTAGTTCATTGTTTCATACTTCTTTTTACATTCACACGGCTGCAAAATTAGAATAATACAAGAATCTTAATTAAAATAATAGCACCTAAACTATTTAATTTTTAAGAAATAAAATAAAAATACAAGAATCTCCCTTTCCTTATGTTCACAATCATTTATATGTATTTATTGAAGTGGATTTATTCCAAAAGCTAGAAAACAAAACCCAACCACACCCAATATGAATAAAGAAAACAAAACAAAACAAAACCAAAGTCATCTTTGAAAGCGAATAAGCATCATTGTCTAATTAATTTATGTTTGACAATTTTCCAAAATAAAATAATCATGCTGCATGATTACCGCTTAATTTTTTTATGATTAATCAAGATAACGTAATTTGAATAATAACTAAAAAAAATAATAGAAAAATACAGTTTCAATCCCTCGAGTTTGCACTGATTTTACATTTGATCTCCCATGTTTCTAAAAAAACATATTTGATTACTCATATTTCAAAAAAATAACACTTTTACTTTTAGTTGTTTCCGTCAATTTTCTTTCAGTACTAATGGAATCAAGCATGTGTCAATCACTGCCTTAACTGACGGACTACGGTAAATTGGCAGAAAAAACAAAAAGTGTTAAATTATTGAAACATGAATGACCAAATGTGTTTTTTGTCAACATGAAGAATTAACTATGAAATCGGTGCAAATTTAAGAGATGAAAATTGTAATTTTCCAAAAAAAAAAAAAATCAAAGAATATTGAATTTGAATCTTGAGACTTTAGCATATAAGGTAGGCTTTACAAATATCAATAATAATCTACTCGTTTTAATCATTTTGTTTAATTGATAATGGGGTCTTCTTGATTTGTAAAGAAATATGTATCCATTACTAACAACCACATGAAAGGGAAGTTTCAACCATTTTGCTATACGGCAAATTACAGCCACCCTTGAGCTAAGGTTAAATTACGAAAAAAAATCTTCTTGTTTGGATAATTACAGTCATCCCTAACTATGTAATGTCTTTTGAAAAAATCCCTAATTAAGTAGGTAAACTTGACACTGTAAGCAGAGGTAGAGCCAGGAATTAGAGACATGGTGGACTTAATATTTACGGGGGTTCGGGGCCAGAGTCCCGAGATTTTTTTTGATTCATTCATATAAAGTAGCACAAAATAACTAAAATTTTATAAACTTTTACTAATACATAATTAAAGTAAAACATAATTTTTTTGGAGGGTGAGCTAAATTAAATTACTTGGGTGGACTAATTACATATGCTATAGTATTTAGTAGAAATTTTTAGAAATCAAGAGTGGGCTGGAGCTCCCATTGCCAAAGAGTGGCTTCGCCCAGACAGTAAAGATAGACGTGTAAGACAATACATAGTTGATGGGTGATAGTAATTACTCAAACAACAGAGATTTTTTCGTAATTTGATCTTATCTTAGAGGTGACCGTAATTTGTCGTCTCCTCCTCTTATATTTATATATAATTAATCAAGTGAAAAGAAAACTTATAGAATAATTCAATTGTTTGTTGCACATGCTACACCACAAAAATCCCACCAAGTCTTTACACATGCCTCAACACATACATGTAATATAGGGCATGCTAACAAAAGAAACTTCCACCTAAAGTAAGTGGGGTTTGCCAAGAAAATGAAACATGGGCTAAAGCCTAATTCATTATTCAACTTTGCATCTCTCTCTCTCTCTCTCTCTCTCTCTCTCTCTCTCTCTCTCTCTCTCTCTCTCTCTATACCTACTTGTGGTCCTGCTAACGTGCGCTATAGCATATTTATATATGGTCCATATATAAATTGTGCCTACTTTTCCAATATATGTTCTTTCGAATCGGGATCCATAACATGGATTGCTTTTCTTTACAAATAATATTCTTAGTGTATATACATCTGTCATATATATCTAGACTGCATTCGCACTTAAAATTTTGAATTAATTAATGTAAGGATTTGATAAAATTAAATTTGACATGATTCCATATTTCAAAATTCATCAAAAACAAAAATTAAAATTAATTCGACTTACAAACGCAAAAAAATAACTTTTTTTAGTCGAATGCAATTTCAGCAAAAATAAAAATTTAGTTTGTTTTTTTTAAACTCAATCGTACATGTGAATTAATGCAGGATTACGGGGTGAAATTGTTACTCTATCGAACTCCATACCTAGTCGACATAGAAAACCAAAAGGTCGGTCGAGTGTTAAAGCTCGACTCGATCCAAAACGGGAACTCGTGGTTAGGAATGGACATGTTGATTTTCAACACGTGGCATTGGTGGACACATACCGGAAGCTCCCAACCGTAAGTATTCGTATATCTAATATACGTATATATTAATTAATTTAATATATAATTAAATGAATTAATACACATGTTTTAAATAGATGGGATTACATGGAAGAAGGAGGTAAATTGTACAAAGATATGAACCGTTTGGTAGCATACTACAAAGGGTTGAACACATGGGCAAGATGGGTCAACCGAAATGTGGATCCTTCCAAAACCAAAGTCTTCTTCCAAGGAATTTCCCCCACACATTATGAGTAAGCAATTAACCATAGTTACTTATAAGTCCATTATCTTGAATTTCATATTTAATTAATTAACTGGCAAATTACAGCCAGCCTCACGAGATAAACTCAAATTATTAAAAAAAACCCTTATTTTTGATAATTACAACAAATCCCCTCGATATGTTTTGTCTTACGAAAAAAACGTTCTTTCAGTACGTAAATTTGACACCGTAAGAGTGGACGTGTAAGACAATACATAGTTGATAGGTTTGGTTGCAATTACCCAAACATATATAAATGGTTTTTTCGTAATTTGAGTATACCTCAGGGTGTGACCGTAATTTGCTCTTAGTTAATTAATGGGCAAATTACAACTACCCCTGAGGTAAGTTCAAATTACGAAAAGAAAACCTCACGCATGTTTGGAGAATTACAATTACTCCCCTCAACTATGTATTATCTTACACGTCGACCCTTACCGTGTCAAATTTATCCAAACATAAAGGGTTTTTTTTCGTAGTTTGAGCAAACCTCAGCTGAGGTAAGTTCAAATTACGAAAAAAAACAATCTTGTTTGGATAATTATAACAACTTCCCTCAACTATGTATTGTCTTATCAAAAAACCCTTTATCCAGTAGATAGATTTGATACCATATGGGTGGAAATACATAGTTGAGTGTTGGTTGTAATTACCCACATACAAGGTGTTTTTTGTAATTTGAGCATGCCCTTAATTAATTTTGGCAATAAAAACTAAAAAAATGAAATTATATATATATATATATATAGGGGGAAAGATTGGAATGAAGGATCAAAATCATGTAAAAGTGAGAGTGAGCCATATTTTGGAATAAAGTATCCAGCTGGCAATCCATTATCAGGAGTTGTGGTGAACAAAGTGCTGAGCAGAATAAAGAAGCCAGTTTATTTATTGGATATTACATTGCTTTCTCAGTATAGAAAAGATGCTCATCCAATTTACTACGGTCTACACAATGGCTTGGATTGCAGCCACTGGTGCCTACCTGGACTACCTGACACGTGGAATTTGCTTCTCTATACTGCCCTCTTCACCTAATAAAAAAAATTATATTAATATTTGGATTAATAATTTAATATACACATGTTGCTTTGTTTTGATTTGATTTGTTGATACGTTAAATTTTAATGTTTGATTTTTAGCTAGGGGGTTTTCTTTTTGGATTTATTGTTGTAAAATTGGGTGAAATAAGCTCATTGTTTCTGGCATGAAATGTTTTGCCTAAGTTGATGAATTAAGGATAAAGTTTAATAAGTTCATATTCGAGTTTGAGTTAATTAGGCATATATGTTCGAACATCATCCTTTGTCAATAATGATCATATGTGAATGTATTGATCAATGAGGCTTATGTTTGCCATACTAGATTTTGTTATATGCAATATATTCATGATAATATTCTTGAATGAAAAATGTCATAAACTATGCTCACAATTTTATTTTTTAATGTTTTCCAAGAAAATGGTAATATGGTATTAGAGATGGAATTTTACAATCGCTACTAGTGGCGAGGCGGGGAATTTTTATGAGGTTGGCTTAAACAGATCGAGGGGTCGGTGGCCTGGCAGCGCCCCCAAAAAAGGAATTTGCTATGAGAAAAATTCAAGATGAAATTTTATTTTCCTCCACTTTCAGAAGATAATACTAAAAACTAAAAAGTGAGTCGCAAAAGTTAAATTGCTATGAAAAATGAAGAAACATTGAATATCACTTGGATTATCAAAATCATACAATCGACTTCTAATCAATACTCAATCTGAAAATTAAGATGAGATAGAAGACGTCAAATTAAACCTTAATCGATTGTAGGTAGGGGTGGGCATTCGGGTCGGGTCGGGTCGGGTTATTCGGGTTTTTTGCAAAAAAAAAATTACCCGAACCCGACCCGAGATAATCGGGTACCCGGCAACCGGGTACCCGGTTATCTCGGGTCGGGTTCGGGTTTTGCTATTTTCCTCTTTTTTTTTTTTTTTTTTTTTTTTTCCTAATAATTATTTATTTCTTCCAATTCGAAATGTGACATCAAACTTCATAAAATATCATAAATATATTAGATGTTGCTTTACTTGGATTACAAATAAAGTAAAACATATTGTTATATACACAGATTCATAAAAACAAAAGAATTACTAAATTTATTACACAAAAACAATTAATCACAAAAAAAAAAAAATAATAATATCAAACAAAAAGTAACACATATACACATACAAATTTTTATATATATACAGACATACACACACACACATATATATATATATATATATATATATATATACATATATATATATATATATATATATATATATATATATATATATATATATATATATATATATATATATATATATATATATATATATATATATATATATATATATATATATATATATATATATATATATATATATATATATATATATATATATAATTTTTTTTTTTTTTAACCGGGTACCCGATCGGGTACCCGGGTAGAATTTTTAATACCCGGACCCGACCCGGTTTGGGAGCACCGGGTACCCGAACCCGGGAAAAACCCGGTTACGTCAAAAATTACCCGATCCGGTCGGGTAATACCCGACCGGGGCGGGTTATACCCGAATAACCCGACCCGAATGCCCACCCCTAATCGTAGGTGCGCGTCCGATTGCCGGTGGGTGGCAATTTTCGGCAAGCAACGGTTGTAGATCGCTGACTGTGTGATAGAACAATTTTGTTTCTTTTTTTCTTTTTCAAGGAATGAGAACACAATTGGCAGATAGAAGATATGAGCAAGTCAGACGTGAGGGAAATTTTAAATATGTGGGCTTAAATATGTATACAAGAGGAAAACATTTAGATGTGAGGGTGAACTTGAGTTCACCCCAACCCTTAGGCGGACTCGCCCTCGATCTCTACTAAAAACAAGAAAATGGTATAGCGACCAGATTAAGTTTGATCATTAGTGGTTACAACAAAATGGTTACTAGAAGTACTCAACGACTAATTATTGAGTGGGGTGCCAAAGACATATTAATAACTACCTACCATTCAATAATTGATGTATACAAATATACTACCATTCAATAATTGATGTATACAAATATAATTATCGAGCGACAAAATTTTGACTCGCTAATGCCAAAGTTTATGGTTGTTAAAATGGTTGTTATATCTGCCTAGATAGTGACCACATCCGTTTTGGTTGATAAATAATATCTATTTAACAATTAATTTAGTAAATGGTTGCAGTAGGTTTTACATGGTTCCAACTTCCACCACTTAATTAACTTGTTTTAGTCATACATTCCGACCAAATAATTAATTGCTAAAATTGATAGCTACCCCATTGAATTTTTTATGTCATTCCTACTTTTAGGTCTTGTAGATAATTTAAAGATTGGCTTCATATTGAGGAATTTTAATATTTAGCACTTTATGTCAATCCAAAAATGTTGTATTTCATGTGTAAAATTTGCATCATACAAATCACATGTATGGGGTCAATTTTGCCATTCTTATGAGGCTTGCTTCGATAAAATAGTATTTAGGCTTGGACTTTAGTTAATGGGCCGAGAAACAATATGTTTGATAGGCTCAGGCAAACTCCGGAGAGACAACCCTGCTTGAACGAGTTTCCAACTTGTTCAACTCTATTTTTATATCGTCTAGCCAGCTCGACTTCTGATGGATCATTCGATAGTTATTGAAATTAGATAATTTTGGCTTGACTAACAATAATTCGATTGAGGGATTAGGTGGGCCCAACTATCAAGGATGGTAAAATCAACCAACCAAACGTTGTATAAATCGGTACAACCCATTCCATTCCTTGTAATACCCCCAACCAATGATGCCCATAGTTTATAATCAATAGAGTCTCTGGCCAGAACTGGCTGTGTAATTATTAGGAAAATAAGTTTCTTTAAGTCAAACACCAATCAATGATATTACTAAAAACGTTCACACAGTTATTAAATTTTAATAGAGGTCTTGGTGGACCAATGCCTCTGGTTCAACTAGGATATATGAATAGAAGGGAACATATATACTATACATTAACTATATCTAAGGAGTCTGATGCGTTGCTAGACTCCAATCTTTATTTGTTGGGCAATTTAGTTGAAATTAGTTTAATCTTAATTATAACTCTAGGGAAGAGTTTGAATCACAATGAGTTGTGGGTCTACGGCTAGCTTACACGCAAACCATCAAGGGTCACACTTACCGTGTACTTGAACTCCTTGAATGAACGAACATAGATTAACTGTTATTTTTTGTGTAATAGGAAGTCAATATGATTGAGTCGAACATTTGTAAATGTTGATTATGAATGAGAATGAATAAAGAAAAAGAATTATGCGATAATTTAGTGAACTTTCTAAAATGGCAAGTTTCCCTATTTAGCAGGTCCACTGAATTAGGGTTTCCAGTTTGAGAAACTGGAAATTGACAATTCGCACTCGCATTGATGAGGACGTTACAGTGATTGCAAAAATATAATCGTTCTATTTTTCTAATCATTGATTTGCGAGAAACCGGCAGATAAAGACTAGTGGACTTAAGTTGTTAGACCGTGTCCAACTTAAGTCCATTTGGATTTTACAAGGCACTATTTAGTGATGTATAGATCTTGTGAAAAACAGAAAAGAAACCCTAGCCATTCTCCCCCTCTCTCCTCATTCACCGTTGCCAGCCCCTCCTCAACGCCACCGCAAACCGCCGCCACTTTGTTGGTTGTTTCTATTCTCTTTTTATCTTCCAATTTTCTTCTAACACCTTTGTATCTAGTGTTGCAAGGGTGTGAAATTCTGTTTACGAGGTAAAATCCTAAAGGAGCAAGAAAATCAGCAATCGCGGCCACATGTGCCTTCACTGCCATCGCGAGTGTTCACCGCTGTCGAATTGGAACTGTTGGAGTGGGAAGTAACTGATGCTAGCCATTTTCCCGAGTATTCATTCGATTCACGCTTCAAGGGTAACATTCGATCTTCCTAATTCATGTTTAATTGTTGTTAATTAAATTGTGTTTGGCATGAATCATGTGTGTATGATGTCGAGCGTGCTAATTGGTTTATTTAATTAATTTAAATTTAATATATGGGAGCATGCTTATGTGTTTAAATTAAATTATGTATATTAATTTAATATATGCAATCATGTTTGTGGTGATTGGAAGGGAAAAGGTATGCATTTAATTTCTCTAATATGCACGTGTTATTATTTGTATAAATCGGTTTATATAAATGATATAAAATTTAAGTTCCGTTGCATAAACATCCTGATTACCAACAAATTACTCTGATTCGATCGGGACATATGTTGTCGAAGAATCATTATTGTACGTTAACTGTGATCTAAGTTTATTGCAGGCACTTCATGTGTATTTCAAAAATCATGACACGTTACTGGTAGGCGCGAATCATGATTCGTTGGGTATTAATTCATCTATAATACCTTTTCTCACAGCCATCGGAACTCCCAAATATGATAAAGGTAATTGGGTACAACGTATCCCCACAATCGTTTGATGGAATCTTGATGCGAAACAAATCATTTTATCCAAGTATATACAACTTTTACCATTATTTACTTCTCGTCCAGACAATTTTCCGTACAATCTAAGAAGAAAAACCAACACCTGAATTGATTGCAATAATACATCTTCTGCATAGAACACAAGTAATGGCCCAATTTGCGCCTATCCATTTTGTATTCCTTGATTACTTCTTCAGCAACACGCTTCTTTAGATTGACAGTAAGAATTTGTTGGGCCAATATGAACAATAACGGCGATAAAGTGTCCCCATGTTTAACTCCACGAAATGATCGAAACTTGCACACGCTTTCTCCGTGAATTTTGAAAGAACACCAAATGTTGTAAATATTACGATAAATAAAATCGGAGGCTTGATATGAAAATACAAATGCGCACAGAGCTCGCAACAGAGAACGCCATTCCAACTCATCATATGCTTTAGGCATGTCCCATTTGAGCACAATATCTCCCCCCGTCCCCCGGGAGTTTGACGTTGAAGAATAAACATAAGTTTTTGCGCAAGAACTGCATGAGTTGCAATGTTGTGACATTTAACAAAATCAACTTGTTCCTCATTGATAAGAGAAGGAAGAATCCTCGACAGTTTGTACACGAAAATAGTGGAGATAATCTTGTCAAAAGAATTCCCCAAACTAATAGGATGGTAATCCCCAATGCTACGGGCGTCTGGATTTTTAGGTAGATCTTGTCACACATGGTTAGTCTAATTAGTTTACGCCTCGTGTCTCCAGATCGAGCTTGGCAGTCATATTTAGCCTAATATAGTTTACGTCTCTCGTATGGTTTACAAGCTATTATACGATAGTGTAGGTTAACTCAGTGCACTTATATAGTTGGTTGCGGATCTTTCTTTACTCAAAAAAAAAAAAAAATCATGTCACACGAGTGTACATTTGTCATTTTTTTTATTAACTTTTGAAAAAAAATAATCATAAAATCACGTTAGTTAAAAAAAAGTATTTTGAGATATTGAGAAGTCTTTGGTATTTCATTGTACGTGGTGTTTGTAAAAGTTTATTTAAAAGCATAAGTTATAAATTGTGATTTAGGTTGGTTTTAAGTATTTATTTTTAAAAGTTGGGATTATTAGCGAATTTGATGGAAAATCAACTAAAACAGAAAACCAGGTCCAATGGTGTTTTACAAATTATAACTTAAAGTTACTTATTTATTTATTTATTATTTTTTTTTTTGAAGAAGCTTAAATCCATAAGCTCATTTTTCAAACACCTGAAAATAGATTATAAAAAATAAGAAAACAAAATTATAATATATTTGTAAAAGCTTTTCAAACATTTACCACCATAATTTTCACAAACAGTCAGATGTTACAACCACGAACCAATCGGTGATTCAAACAAATTATTTGCTGAATTATTTTCACCCACCCATGTCACCTAAATTACCGCATAACCGGTCAATTCCATCTCAACTGATTAACCGCCAAAACTAACGACCACTCCCTCTATATCCTCTTCTTTTTTTTGCTTCCATCACTATTCCCATGAAAACTATCACTAACTACAAACAAAAAGAATATTAAGTACAGAGATCGGTACGTGTTTCGAGAGTTGCAGAGAAATGGCGTCGGAGCAATTAAGAAGAGAGAGCGTCACAGAACAATGCCAAGATAACAGCACTACTACTACTAGTGCAAAAGACCGAGTCACGAAAATGACAACTCATTACGAGACGCTTGCCGAGAAGGCCAGAGAAGAGCGACAACACGCCGCCAGCCCCCATCACTGCGAGAGTCCTGTCCGAGTCAACTCGGACAGGAAGATCGTAACAGAGCACCAGCAGCAAGACAAAGAAGCTGATAGTAATCAATCAGTAATCAATACTGATACTGATACTGATACTGATAATGATAATAATAATAATAATACTGATGCAGTTGGTACTTCAGTGGAGGATATGTCCGACATGCGTGTAACTGCGAAAGAGGCTAAGAGCTACACGGAGGAGAACTTGATCGAGACGAAGGATATTGTTGCGGCGAAGGGACAGTCTGCTGCGGCGTACGTCGGCGAAAAAGCCACCGCGGCGCGTGATGCGGTGGTCCAGGGCGGCAAAGTGGCAGCGGAGTATGTCGCGAAAGTTGCTGTGGAGGTTAAGGAGCAGGCGGTGGTTGCCGGGTGGGTGGCGACGAATTACACGGTGGAGAAGGTGGCTGGGGCCACCAAGGCGGTGGCGGGGTACACGGGGGAGAAGGCGGTTGCCGCCGGGGAGACGATTGCGGGTGCTGGGAAGGTGGTGGGGGAGAAGATGGCCGCCGCTAAGGATGCGGTGGTGGTGTCACAAGAAAATGTGGCTAGGAAGAAGGAGGAAGCTGTGAAAGAATTTGAAGCGAAGGGATCTGCTTTTGACGATAAGGTGAAATTGTAGAGTTTTTTTAAAGCATTTTGAGTATGCATGCATGTCTAACTAGATCACGTAGGTGGAAAACAGTATTGATTTTTGGATATCAATTTAAATGCTCATAGCTCTCTTTTTCCTGGTTGTTAGATGCTACATCTGGTTATTTACATTGGATGGATTTGAATCGTAAATTTGATTAAATTACTAATCACTAAGCACACATACACATGGATGTGTGTGCGATTGTGTGTAGATCTGCGCTTCAAATTCATCCAGTATAGATAACCAGGTGTAACATCTAATTTTCCCTATTTGCATTAGGTACAAAAGATTTCCTAAAATTGGTTATGAGGTAAAATAGTAGCTAAAATAATTTGGGGAAAATGTAAAAAAAAAAATGACTAATTAAAACAAGTTTTTTTTTTATTTTTTTTTTTTTTTTTCTGAAAAAAAGCACTAGTAGAAAAATGGCTTTTTGCTACGGTAAAAAGCCGTAATAAAAGATATTCTTTTTTTTTTACTACGTATCAATCTTGGAGTCGTAGTAAATGCTAGGATTTTAATTTAGCGTAGCAAAAATGTATTTGCTACGGCTATTTACCGTAGCAAAGTTTTTGTCAGGCCCGTATATGCTATTATGGGGCAAATTCATACCAAATGCGTAACAAAAACCTTTTTAATACGAATTTGGTACATTTGCCACGGTTAATGGTTGTACTAAGAATTCATGTTTCTACTAGTGAAGTGAGGAAAACAACAAGTTAAACATTAGCACGTTTTTATCTTCTTCTATTTGTATTCCGATCCTCTTCATTCTGGAAAACATATATATCCAATTACGGGATCGGAGGAGTTCACCTCCCATGGCAGAACCACAACAAACACGTCTTCTTGCGTAAAGAAAACGATTTTCCACAAAAGCAATTTTGTCACTATTTTCCTAATGCAAACCAAACATACTATAAAGATTTTCGTTTTTTCTGTTTTCATTTGCTTTTGCATGAAGTTATAACGTTGGTGCATAATCGGATGCACGCTATGCGTGTAGACGTAGCATTGCAGTTATCGCATTCTTATATTTTGTGTATTGATCGGTTCGACTTCATATATCAATTGTTTGTACTAATTATAGGGAGATCGTGATGAAACAATTTCCAGCACTACGTAGTGAAAGCGCAATAAAAAACATTGTCATCGTAGAAGCTCCAGTTCTTAATACAAGGCCAACTGCAGAACGAAAAACATCATCGTAGAAGCTAAAGTTATCAACATTTTTTCGTTTTTTTTAGACAATCTATGCAGTATATATAACCACTTATAACTACCTAAAAGCAGAAGCTTTAAGAGGAATAAAGTTTGGATGTTTTTGTACCATTTAAGTTTTAGCCTAATGTTATTGTTGCCTCTTCAATTTGGATTGTACCAACTTAAAAGTGAAAGAATACTTTTTCTCAAAAGTTGATGACTTTAGCTTTTTCTTTTTCAATACGCATGAACTAAGAACTGAATGGAAGAAAGCATTATTACAACTGAATGACAAATTTTATTAGATATATTTAATTAATTTGTGTACATGCTCTAATGAGCTCCAGCGCCAACAATCTGTAGTAAACTAAAAAAAAACTACACGTAATTGTAGTAAACTATAGTCATTCATAGTAATGTTATCAACGCTTACAAGTCTAAAAATACAATTACATGCATATATGTTACTAGAAATGTATAGTAATGTGTTATAATGTACACAATCTCTAGAACCCTGTAACTTGAGCTCATGTCAAAATCACCAAATTCGTCTATAACTTCAAACAATTTTTTTTGACACCTTTAAGGAGAGGATCAATGGCTTCTATCAAGCAACAGTTGCAAAATCAAAACAAAAAAATTATTTTAGTGCAAGTAAACAAAAATTGAGGAAACATCAAAACACTAAAAAATCGACAAACACTATAAGAGAGAGAGAGAGAGAGAGAGAGAGAGAGAGAGAGAGAGAGAGAGAGAGAGAGAGAGAGAGAGAGAGAGAGAGAGAGAGAGAGAGAGAGAGAGAGAGAGAGAGGGGGTGTCATAGTTGCGAAATGCTACGAAATTTAGACCAAACTGCCAATAGCTCGTCAGCCGAAGTGCCACGTACCAAAATCCTGGCCGCCGTTAACCACCCAAGGTTCCGTGCTCGCAATGAAAAAAAATATAGAGATACAGCTGACAATAAAAAAAATGAACGAAATTGCCATCAAAATATAAATCTCGAAGAGAGGAATTCAACGGTGGATAGCCCGTCAAATTCCGACTACCGGAACACAAATTACACCTCCGGCAAGACCCGCTGTCGTCGAAATACGCGCCGACTGTAAAACTATTGTAGAAACAGATCCACATATCCAAACTATATGAAGTCACCACCAAAAGAAAGTGCTCGACGAGAGGAATCTAACGGTAGCTAAACCATCGAATTTCGACCACCGAGAAAGTTATGACTCCGGGAAGCAACATCGCCGATTAAAAACCTATGGGGGGCGGAATCTGGATCTGAGGGTTGCGAGAGGAAGAGAGAGACGAATGTGAGTTGGCTAGGGTTTAAAATTGATTTTAAAATGGTATTTTAGGTACTTCAAAGTGGCCATAATCCTACATTAATATATAAAATGGAGGAGATATGCAGCAGAATTAATATTCTAGGTGGTTAGTTCCAAATATTTTCCATATGAGGAGTCATAAAATAATCCCTTGATAGATATTGCTAACACCCTTAGGTAATGTTTGCAAAAGCTTATGTAAAAACAGAAGTTAGTAATTGGGTTTTAAGATTGAATTAAGTGTTTATTTCTAAAAGTTGTGGGTGTCTGCAAATTAGCTGGAAAATCAACTAAAATAGAAAAAGCAGGTACATAGCTACTTTTAAAATTATAGCTTAAAGCAGCTTATTTTAAGAGAAGCAAAAATAAAAACTTGTTTTACAAACACCTACAAACATATTATACGTAGAAAAAAAACTCATAATCTATTTCTATAAGCTCTTGCAATACAATAATTTCACAACCACGCGCCGCGTCCAATATGAGGCAGCACCAAAACTCAGTTCTCCCATTCGAATCATCGAATTAATCACCAACATAGTTACATAATAATAAAACGAAAAAACCTTGTGATGGAACCTCACCTTCAGTAGAAAGTGCAGCTTAATTTGCATTAAAAGCATAATCGCCACACCTTGTTATGCACATCTATGCCATATTAGAGCTTGAGTAAGCATTAATATTCGAACTAACCAGAGCTCTCAGGATAAAACATTATAGCTTAACCTGCTGATGATAAATGCTTCAGTATTTATCATCAGAGTAAAATGAAAATACTCACTTCCCTCTTTCGACTCAAGAATTAGTTCAAACATGAAACTTTGCCTCTCCATTCATTTCCAAGGTCGCTTTCATTTTCATAGGATGTTTACAAATATGCATAAAAAAAAAACCACAAACTTTGTAACAATGTAACATATAGTATCATTTTTTTTCCTAAATGGCTTGCATTGGCATTCTATCCATGATCAATTTAAGGATATTACAACTAGAACACGAGGATAGAGATAGGGCATGAAATTATAAAGATCAATCCAAATTCTACATCCATAAAAAGGTTTAAATGTAATTAAGAAGTTTCACTGCTCAAATTTATTATTCTAGATTCAGGAGTTATATCTATTTGACCAATAAGTTCATCCATTTAATATGGATTATAAATAAAGGAAAAACTTAAAATCCAATTTGACTTTTTTTAAACTTGTTTTTCTGAAATTAATTTTTTGCCGTCAGGTTCCGGCGTTGACTTTTTCGATTTTTTTTTTGTTTTGTCTGCTTTTTCTGCCGTCGGTTTCCCGCGTCGATTTTTTTTACTGATTTTTTTTATCTTTTTTTTTACCCCCGCCACTAAACGTTCATCGTAATTGTACTGTCAGTAACATTAATTATACTATCACCGACATTACATTAACGTAATTGTACTATCGTTGACAGTAAATTAGCGTAATTGTACTGTCAACGACAATATTATTATATTTTTGGCTTTTTTTTCTTTTTGATTTGTTGACAAGTCAACGTAATTATATTACTGTCTTAACGGTAAAAATAATGTAACCACATCAATATTAATATTTTTTTGGGGGGTTTTATTTTGTTTGAGTTGTTGACGGATTAACGTAATAATATAACTGTCTACTATTGTAATATTACTGTAAACACAATAATATTACTGTGGTTGACGGTAATATTACTGTTGTTATAGTAACATCACTATGCACCACATCAATATTAATTCTTTTTGATTTTTTATTTTGTTTACCTTTGTTGAACGGTCAATATATTAATGTTACTATATTACACAATATAATGACTTTTGTTGTGTTAATATTATTGTGCTAGAGATAAATATAGCAATATTACTGTGTTAAATTGTAGTATAGTTAATATTATTGTGTTTAATAGCAATATAGTTAATAGTACTGTCAACCATAGCAATATTGTTGTTTAAAAGAAGGCAAAACAATGTTAAAGGAAAAAAATTCAAAAAAAAAAAATGAAAAGTCAACGCCAGAAATCAGAGGAAAAATCATAAAGAAGAAAAAAAACAGTCAACGGCAGCGACGGGCAAAATTGTACTCAAAATTGAGTTTTGAGTGAAAATTAAATAATTTGTGAAATATGGGGTCAAATTAAGGTTAAATTAAATCAAATGATGAAATTGGAGCATATTAAAATATGAGGGGATATTTTAGTCCTTTATACATCTATGGATAATGTGTGGACTTTTTTGTAACAAAGTTTTTTATCTAGACCCCTTTATGAATAAGCATGGGATGATAGACTTATTTTTAATGGACCCATATATGGGTTTTTTGTGTGTGTGTGTGCATATATATATATATATATATATATATATATATATATATATATATATATATATATATATATATATATATATAGGACAAATAGCACTTTCCCCCCTAAAAATATGAAAAAGAGACATTGCCCCTCCAAGTTGTTGCATTTTGCCCTAAATGTTTATTTCTGGCATAATTGAGTATTTCGGATGTCTATGCATTCGGTCTCCATTTCACGTGTTGTACACTACCGGAGCGTTCCATTTCCGAAGCCAGCAGGTGGCTCGTGAGGTTCAACCGACAGAACTTTCCAATTCCAACAACGACCGCGTCTAAGGATTTTAAGGACGAATTTCTTTTGGAAATGGAGCCCCAATCCATAAGGCCTTCAAGGATTTGAATCCTTGACTCTATATCTAATTTCAGATTTGGGGAGAAAATAAAAACTCTGATTTGGTTAATTCAATTAGGGGGAGAAATAGAGAGCCTAAAGTGACGAAATTACCCTTTTAGATTACTCAAATCCGACGAGAATTTCATCGGAATTACACTTTTGGGGCAAAGTGCAACAAGTCGTGTATTTTGAAGGGGCAATGTCTCTTTTTCATATTTTTAGGGGGGAAAGTGCTAAAATTGCATTTTCTTTAGGGGGCGAAGTGCTATTTGCCCTTTAATATATCGATATAAATAAAATGGTTAAAGCTTGTATTATTTTAAATAAAATTTAAGAATATTTACTTATTTTTGAAATTTTTTTCATCAATGCCTCTAATAAATAATATGAGAAGATGCCATGGATCCTCGGAATATTAAGTGCAATGTATTATTAGAATAATTTAGATTAATTCTGATTTTTCTGTCATGCTTGAAATATGATAAAATTATATATGCTATTTTAATTAAAAATTAGCAATATAACTTAATTTTTGCAACGTCTTGTGTACACAATTAATTATTTTTGCATGGTAAATAATTAATTGCAACGAATTAATCCTATAGAATAAAATAGGGATAATTACAGTTTTGGTCCCCCAAGTTTGCACGTTTTTCACTTTTGGTCCCCTATTTACCGCCGTCAACAAAATACACACTAATGTTTGTCACATTTTAACATATTTAGTCCCTCCGTCTGTTTGACCGTTAAGTAGTAACGGTCAACGGTTGAATTTGGGGTTTTTCTTTGAGAAAATTGCAATAAGACCCCTATATTCTTTTAAAATATTCTAAAAACCTCTAAAATTTTATACAACAATAATTTAACCCCTATTTCATCAATTAACCAATTTTAACCAATGACCCCGATTTTTCAAAATGTGGTAATCCGACGTTGACTTTTTTTAACTCGGTTGACTCTTTTGTCGATTGATCTTTTTCCCCCCTAGTGACCGATGTTGAATGTCGGCTTAACAGCGTTGACATTTTTTTCTTGATTTTTATTTAAATTGTTGAGTAATGGAAAAATATAATTACAAAAAAAATCAAAGTAGATAATTGGCGAGAAAATAATATCATAAAAAAAATCAAAATAAAGAAAAAAGGAAAAAGTCAACGCATCTCAGTGACGGAAAAATTTTAAGCCAAAAAAAAGGTAAAAATTAACGGCCGGTGTTAGCTAGACACGGCCATGGGCCGGTTTGGGCCAGTTCATACCGGTTCACGGTTCACTTTTTCCGGAACCGGAACCGGCCTGTAATATGCAAGGTTCGGCGGGCCGGGTCGGCCCGCCGGTTCAATCCGGGTCCGGGCCTATCCGGGCCGATTCCGGGTCGGCCCGGAAATTTATATTTATATATATATTTTAAAAAAAATACTTAATGGATAAATAAATTAAAATAATTACTTTTAAATAGGAATAAAAACAAAAGGAAATAAATAAAATGACTTTAACTTGATTTTATAGGAAAAAATGGAGTGTGAGGGTATTTATAAGAAAAAATAGGGGGGGGGGGGGGGGGAATTCAAAAAATAGCAAATAACCGTCGGTTCACTGGGCCGGTTCACTGGGCCGGTTCACCGGGCATTTTTTGCTTTTTTTTTTGAATTTTTTTGATATTTTTTTTTTAAATCCGGGTGAACCGCCGGGCCGGCCCGGTGGTTCACGGTTAACCAATTCATAGAACCGGGCCCGTCCCGGAGACGACGGGCCAGTTCACGGGTTCCGGGCCGGTTGACCGGTCAACGGTTCGGGCCGGTTCGTCAACGGGCCGGTTCCGGGCCCATGGCCGTGTCTAGTGTTAGCCCCAAAAACCGTTGTACTAGAGTGGTTATCTCATTTCAAATTACTCCGCACATGCCTAATTCATCTTCTTCATATTTTCTTGGAAATAAATTTGGGATGCATTGGCGGTTCCACGAAGAAAAAATTGAGGGGAAGAAATTATGAATTTTAGAATTTTTTTAAATTGTATTTAGGCCCTAGAATTTTAGATAAAAACTTTGTTAAAAGTTTGTAATTTTAATATTACGATTCTAGATATTAATATAGTATTGTTATTGTGTTTTACAGTAATTGTATTGATCGGAAAAAAAAAGTCAAAGGAAAAAGTTCGTAAAAAATAAAGAAAAATAAAAAAAAGTCAACATTGTTAACCGAGAATACAATGTCGGTGAACAGCGTCAAAATCAATATTAAACAACAAAGTCAATGCATAAAAAAAAGTAAGGAAAAAAAAAACGGCTGTCTTTGTCAAAATTAATTAAATGATGAAATTGGGGTTAAATTAGGGTTGAATAAAATTTTAGGGGGTTTTAGAATATTTTAAAAGAATGCAGGGATCTGAGTGCATTTTAATCTATAAAAAATCCCAAATTCAGCCCTAATTCAACAGTTGACCGTTACTTATTGACGGTCAAATTGGCGGAGGGACTAAATGTGTTAAAATGTGACAACATTAGTGTGTATTTTGTTGACGGCGGTAAATGGGGGACTAAAAGTAAAAAACATGCAAACTTGAGGGACCAAAACTGTAATTATCTCGAATAAAATAACATTCGGAATCCACCGAAAATTTAGAGAAAACTTACAAGTTTTATAGATAATAAACGATGCCCCGAAAAATAAATCCTATAGCAACTACTTATACTGTTGAAACGGAAAAAACTTAATCAAACTAGTAAAACGAGAAAATTACAAGAAAAGGCAAAAATAAAATAACTCCTAAATCTAATAGAATACTAAAAATTGATAATATCCCAACTTGCGAATTTGAAATTCGAATTTTCTAGAACTAATTATGAATTATTTAAGACTTTCCTAAAATGACAAAAACGTTGTTTTGAGGGCCTAAACGACCTCGAAACGCCAAAATACATCGCTCATCACAACATAATGGTGAGTTCAGTTCCCCTCGTTGTTCCTGTTTGGAAAAACTTGGCATCGCGCTATTCCGCCAACATCGCCTCTTCATCAAAAATTTTAGGGTAAACTTCATTTTACCTACCTGAACTATACCCAACGTATAAAATGCCCCCCTGAACTTTAAAATGAATCAAAATGGTCCCTCCAGATTTTGGGTCAACGTTAAATTCAATTAAAATAGTAACTCCGTTAGTTTTTATGTCTTATTACCTTTTTGCCCTCCAACCTTTTCTTCTTCGTCCAATTCTTTCTTCTTCTTCGTCCCTTTCATTTATATTTTTATTTTCTTTCTTGCTGAATTTTTTTAGCATAAACCCATGAATTTACATTTCAAATTCCAGGAATCCAAGAATTATGCTTTTGTGAGAAATCACCAAAGAATTATGTATCACCCAACCCAAATCCGAACCCCCAATCAATCGAAATCTCCAAAACTCACTAAAAATCACAAATTCAAGAACAACCCAGATGAGGATTCCAGCCCAAACCACACCCCCACAGCAAAATTACACGAAGGTGGATATGGGTTGTGAGTTCGCCAAATTTTAGGAAACCGTCGAGCTTCTCAACAACCTCTTCGGCGGGAGAAAGATTCAACCCAAAGTTTCTTTTAGCGAGAGTGATATGGGGAAATTGCTAAAACATTTTTTTCTGGGTTTCGATGGGACCAAGTTGGATTTTGACAATTTCTTGAATGTGGGCTATTATTGGATTGAATTCAATTGTTATACTTAACAAATTCCAGAATTTTTTTTTCTTTTTGTGTGAAGGGAAGTGCTGAAATTGTGTTATCTCTTCATCTCTTTGGATTATTTTACGAAGTTTAATGGTTTTAGAAACCAGTTGTTCATAAGCCGCCAGTTTTCCTTCAAGCTTGCGGGTTCCGGCGAAGGTTGCGAGTTCCGGTGGAGACACTGTATATTCGATGAGAATTTTTATTTTTATTTTTTATAAGATATTCGGTGGGAATTAATATATAAACATATAATTATATATATATAATTATATATATATTATATATATATATACACACACACATATAGCTATAATAGTATTCGGGGCAAAAATGTCAAAACACATGCAACAATTATTTAAAATAACTATTAATGCAAAAGTCAAAATGCCACATCATCAGGAGCAGACGGATCTTAAACGGAGGGGCTATTTTGATTCATTTTGAAGTTCATGGGGGTATTTTATACGTTGGGTATAGTTCAGGTAGGTAAAATGAAGTTTACCCAAAATTTTATGCAAGTATTCTACAATATAGATAGATTTGTTGCATGTTTTCTCATATAAGGCGATTTATGCAAAAATAAGTTGCCTAATCAAAATCCAAATTATTCTCTGAAATTAAATCAAATGCATGTATTCAATTGCGATATTGAAGAGAAAAGATATATAAAAAAATATCGAACATATGCATTCGTTGCAACTCCTATGTAGCACATAAACTTCAATTTCTTAACATATTCGCATCGGACACTTTATGGGTCATTGTGCACTTTTTGAAAAGTTAGAAACATGTTTGAAAAGCGAATTTCCAAATATTTTTTTCTGCTTCCCTAATTATTTATATAATTCAGTGCTCAATTGTGAATGATAGTTGATAATAATATATATTTTGAATATATTAGTAAGGAAATGTATAAAAAGACCTTATATATAGAAATAAAATCCTATATATGTTTGTATTAGGGATGGTAAACGAGTCGAGCCGGCTCGCGAACTCGACGAGCCGGCTCGACAAAGGCTCGAACTCGTGCTCGGGTTTTCGAGCTCGAGCCCATATTTAGTTGTTCGACATTTCGCAAGCCCGCTCGCGAGCTGCTTTTTTATTTATTTATTTATATATATATATATATATATATATATATATATATATATATATATATATATATATATATATATATATATATATAGATTGATATCTTATTATTATTATTATTAACTAAATAGTAAATAGTTTATAATAATAAATATCTTTAGTATTTAAATAGAAACAAATCTATATTACTTAGATAATTCATAATAATATAAAATATTATAATAATAATATAAAATTAAAAAAATATATATAACTAGAGTTCATTATTTATTTATAATTTTTTTTATTTTCCTATAAATATTTTTAATAAAAAATTAAATAATAATATTAAAAAAAAAAAAAAAAAACAACAACAACTAAATGAGCCCGAGCTCGAGCTCGAGCCAAAAAAAATGACTCGATGAGCTCGAGCTCGACAACATGGACTCGAGCACGAGCTCTCGGTTCGTCTCGTTCACACCCCTAGTTTGTGTAGCATATTTGTTAATATACCTCTATACTTTTAATATTAATACGTTTCCCCAAAATTCCCGTTTTATCGTATCGCCGTTTCCGTGTCCGTTCTACATATCCAACTCTCATCCCATATTAATTATTTTTTTCTGTTTTCTTTCCAAAATATATGTTTTTAAGGCCGGGTAAGGAAATTTTTCCAAATTAATAAATATTGCTAACACACTCCTATAAAAACCTCTCTTCCGCCCATCATCATGTAACAATACAATAGCTCCACAACCCACGCGCCGCCGACAACATGTGGCAGCAACAAAAATCAGCTCTTCCATTCGACATCATCGAACCCATCTTGTCAAGATTACCGGTTAAGTCTCTGCTTCGATTCAAAACAGTTTCCAAGTCATGGAATAAGATGATCTCCGATCCCGTATTCGCCCGTACTCATCTCGACCGATCCAAGTATTCGAACCCCCACAATATTTTTCTACGCATGTCGTCGTTCGGAAGTAGATGCGACGACGAATTGTTTTACATGATAAAATTGGAAGATGATAAAAAACGGCTCCGAACCGTAAAACTACTCAACGGCCCCGACGAACGCTGGGACAAGATATTGTGCTATTGCGACGGCGTTCTACTCTTAACCGACTTCTGGTACAGCACGTTTGTTTTGTGGAATCCATCAACCGGAACACACACTATGTTTCGTTCCGACCGTGGGTTCTCTGGATCGAGATACGGGCTTTGTCATGATCCGACGATTGGCGGTTATAAGGTTGTTATTATAGATAGTACGATTACGGACTACTACTACGTATTTTCCGCCAACTACAGATACCGCATGAAGAGAAAAGAATTCGATCGACTAGATCAAACAGGACGAGAGATGAATTGTTCGCAAGTGATGAATCGTTCCGGAGTCTCCGTCGATGGGGTCGTCTATTTTTTCACGCGGTGCAATAATGATTCGGATATAATATATTTCGATCCGAGAGATGACAAGTTGAAGATTTTGCCGAAGCCCGTGGGAGTAGAGGGGTATAATTGGTTTTACTTGACTTATTTGGGAGGTTGTTTGTGCTTGTATCGAACGGGGGGAGAAGACTTTACGATGATTGAATTATGGATAAAGGAAAAGGGGAGGGATAATAATTCTTGGAAGGTGTTGATAACCGTTGAGAATGAACGCATGTTATGTAGCTCGATTATGGACTTCGATGCACTATGCTTCGTAGAGAATAAGGTTTTAGTTCAGTTAGGCCTTTCGAGATTGTTGCTCTACGGTAGTTGCGGGAAGAAGTTTGAAGAAATTGAGTTGGAGGAAGAGTTTGGTCGCTATGGAACGATTTCGTATAGAGATAATATATTGGTTCCGTATATAGATAGTTTGTTTTATCCCGGTAAGAGAATCGGGGGCAAGAAGAAGAAGTACGGTAAGAAAACCGGGGGCAAGAAGTTTGGTAAGAAAAACGGGAGCAAGAGATAAGGTTATTTCTATGCTACACCCGATGAAGACTTTTTACCGCTGATCTACACACACCAATGTGGGTGCGTGTGTGTTTGTGTGTTTATGAATGGTAAAAATCTACCTATAGTATAAACCCAAGAGAATTGAACATAATTTATTTATTTCACATATAGCATTAATTTATATATATGTTAATGTTGGTTAAATATACGAGGGGCCTCGTCTCAACCGCCTCCGTAAAGTTCGTCTAGGGCCCTAAAATCGTATAAAAGGGCCTGCATATAGTGTAGGGGCCAAATATTTGTTCGTCTGAACCAAATCGGTTAACATCGTCGGAAGCTGATTATAAAACAAAACACGATAACAAAATAATATTTCACGAGTATCTAAACAGCTGTCGCTAAGAATCTGGGATTTTTACGCAACTAGCACACAATGCTTTGAGATTCCACAACAACTGTTTTTAAGGAAAATAATAACCTAAACATAAATTACACAATCTTACCACAATCTTACAACTAACTAACCAATAGTCATCTGCTTACAGAAGTATATATGACACAAGCACAGGTTAGCCATCTACAATCATTATACATACATACATATCTGATTTCATAATATATTTATCAGCCACTACAGGAATTTACAAATCGAACAAAAGACGGAAACAACCCTGCGTGCTAAAACAAGAAAGCTGCAAATCGTCAACGGTGATTCTATCTTACAACACAGGCGCTATGTTTATATCAAGGCTTGGAGGAATTAAGTCAGTAGGCCGTCAATCGAGATCTGCAAGTTGAATTGTTAATAATTAGTAAAACCAGATAATAATAGCCACCGAACGAATAGTCGAAAGAAGGTTGATGCATTAATAATAATCAGCATAACGAAAAGAATCTATAAGAAAAAAAAAATATAGATCTAATTCTCATCTATCAAGGGGTAAGGAACGAGACATCTCGATTTTAATTTCACCACTTTACGTGTACTTGTACATACAGCTCAACTACCGGACTTTCACTATCAGATTTCACATCGTTTCAAAAAATTGGTTAACCCCGAAAAATCAAGATTTTTTAAGATATTCGATTTCATTTTTAACACAATAAAGTAACCATGCAATTTCCTACCCAACTACAAGGCCAGATACGTTAAAGTAAAAAGTCAACTCTTAAGTCTCAACAATAAATTGCCTTTATCGATAAAAATATTTACAAACCTCAACTCAAACCTCAAACTCGAAAGTCTTCCTCCTACTGTGTTAAGAAATATTTAATTTACAAAAATGATAATATCATCTTAATCATGACAAGCTAATAATTCTATTGGCAGCATTAGAAAATTATTAAAACGATTAAACGGAGAACCGCGAATACTTTTCGAGTACCTTTCCTAAACTAGAGTTTTGAAAAACTGTGTTGTATTTCTTTTCTTTCCTTTTTTGTATATAGAAAACAAAAAGATAAGAGTCGTACACAGAAGTTAAAAACCCATTAGTGGCTCAGTTCACAGAGGATACAAACGAAACACAAGTTAAAATAGGTAGCTATTTACAAAGGTTGCCTAAAAACGACTACAAGAAATGAATAGATTAGATTATCCTTGCTAGAAAAACTAGAATAAAAGGATCCATTAAAGCAATGAACTCATATAACAACCCTTTCGAGCCTAGTTTCGAAACTTCCGAATAGATGCTATTTTATATTTCAATAATACAAAGTTCATATACTGAAAGGTATTTAAAATAATCAAATAAAACTTATGTGATGTACAGTTTTGCCTAGTATAATATAAGCATGCTTTAGTATATAACTTTTTTCAGCATCCATGTAACAAAATTGAAAAGGGAAATATCAAAATAGAGTTAGAAGAAAATATTAAAAAAATAATGTGAGTGCATGTGTGTATTTCTTCAATTAAGGTTTTCATAAATGTTTGGTCTAGTTACGGGTTTGGTCGGTTTTTACTTTTTACACCTATGTCATGTCCCGATAGTTCCTCGTACATCCAAAGAAATTATTTTCATCTAATCCTCTTTTCGTAACAACTTAACGTGACTCGAATGTAATGTTCTTAATTCAAAATTCACAAATCTATACAGCATTAAAAAGTCCCAACGGTTAATGAATAGTGGAGTCCTAACTTACTCCACTATTTGATAAAATTTCGGAGTGCAAGAATCAAATGTAAATTTATAGAAGGAAACAATTTTACAATTCAACCATGTAGCAGAAAGAACCTTCTTGCACCAAAAACCGAGAACTAAAAAGAGACAAAGTCGCACAGTTGCAAAAAGAACTTTATTAAATTCTACATAAACCATACTGAAAAGTCTCTAAACACTATCCATTGTTCAATTGTTGACCGGGAGAATAAAAACAAAGAATATTACGTGGCTTATACGTACCTTAATTCTTACTATGAGTCTATGACACGTGGCAACGACAAAGTTATTGCCATGCTGGTCTAAGAGCATTCATTCTGCATAGCTACTTTTTAATTCGATTTTATAAGATTTTCAATCACTTGTTATCATTACAAAAGGTAATTAATACATAGCCGTTAATTCTCTCAATTGAAGACTTTCCTAATCTTATGTCTAAATCTCAAATACCACCATCTTTTACTTGGATAAGATGCTCTAATAGGATAAGTTTCACTAGTTACGACAGATTTTGATCAAAACCAATTCCATCAATTCGACCAAGCTAATTCACTTCCACTATCCCTTAAGGCTGTGATTCACGAGAATTTCGAAAAATGAAAATGCAAAGGAAAATGAAAATTATTCCTAAAGACAGAAGTCCTGTTACAAATACACGTAAAGATTACTTTACCTAGAGCATTTTCCATGTCTTATTCAATGTTATTCTTGGATCTAAGCACAGCCTTACTGTCGTTCTGATGCATATCCAATCGAGTTCAAAGAAATATTTTAACAAAAAAATATTAACTAGATATCTTCCGTTATTATTCTAGCTCCTTAAATTATGCTCATTAAATGTTATAATCATTTTACGCACAGCGAAAAGGATCCAATTGCTATGGCCTTCACTAAATGTACGATAATCACAAGCACAGATACTTCAAATACTACCCAGCCAACACCCATAATTTGAGCTGATAATAAGACTCGAAATTGATTGTATGGGAACATGAATTGATGACTCATTAAAAGCATTTAAAACCGCAGCTGCGCAATCAAATACAATTGTGTATTTAATGCTTCACGTAAGTGATCTAACACATAGATTCAACTTCGCATAAAACAAGTGGTCTAATAAATTGAGTAAGAATAAAATAAGAGAATGGAAAAAAAAAAAGTGTCTTTAAAAAAAGACAGACCATAAAGGCAAATAGCTTAGAATAATACCTCGACAGCTGAATACTTTGGTCATCGGCCGCCATCTGATCCATCTACCGAGGAACTTTCACCGTCAGAATCTGTAATAATTACACCAAAAAAAAAAACAATAAGGGAAAGAAGATCGCCTTTGAACAACTGTCCAAAACCATGTCTTAAATCCATCCAACATACCAAAAGTTCACTTTACGAGAAACAACTGCATTTAAAGGGTAATTACAAAACAACTATCGATTACCACCACTGGATGAAGATCCGGAATCAGAGCCAGAGCTGCTCTGGCTTGCTCCTCGTTTTGTTTCGTTACGATTTGGCTCTTCTACTACAGCTGGAGGTGAGGCAACTTTCTCTTCATCTATTCAAGAAATAAAAAGTGGACAAAATTATAAATTTCAATAGCAAAAAACTTCGCACATATCGGATCATTTTTTACCCTCTGAAACCTTTACCTGCTCTACTTTCTTTTGCGCTTTCTGTTACAATTGAATTAGCAATCTGCGGAAAAAAACCCAAAAAGGGAAAGAAAAAAAATTGCATCAATAAAGATTAACATAAGCTTAATGAAGAGAGACGAGGAAAAAAATTTACCTTTTCATTAGTGTTCTGCTCTACATCAGTTACTACATGAGTAACAGTATCGGCCTTCCTTTTGTTCTTGCTCAAACCCTTCTTATAATTGGTAACGAACCTATCGAGCTCCCAAAGAGTTTCGGTATCAACAACGTCAATGTCAACCTCGATCTCATCGTCTTGCTGAGAAACCGAGGGATTACGTTTCTTGATAATCTGAACAACGTTCTCGAGCTTCTCAGACGGCAAATTCTGCAGATTTATGCTAAGCTTTTGCTTCTCTTCATAAGTCATCTCCCTTTTATTCGATTCCTTCGCCTTCGGCTTCTTTTTCACAAAAACCTTCCCGGTTTGAGCTACACTCATCGTCTTTCTTAATGGGTCAACGCCAGCATTCGTTGACTCGGATCTATCTGCAGTCTTTTTCATATTTGGCCTCGACTCGCGCATATAATCAGCCTCGATGACGGGCCATTTGTCCTCGAATATTTTCAGTAACTGATCAGCCATCAAATAAACATCCTGCTCTTTCGGGTTATACGTCAGAGCATTCTTGAATGTAAGTCTAACATCCTCGGCAAATTCCATAGGAGACTTGTACCAATTCTGCGCTAACCTATCTTTCACTGTACCAAGATCCATCGGGTTTCGAATAATTTCGAAATAGTCGTGCAAACCGAGACCAACTGCATCGACCGGCTTGTTGAACACCCAACCGTGTTTGTGCTTCATCAATTTGTCTAAGAGCGACTGACAACTTTTCAGTACCGGATTCGGAAACTTCTTCACTCCCACCCCCTGCCCACTCGCTCCACCCCCCTTCTTCGCATTCGATTTCGATTTCTTGTTACTCTCGGCTGAAGGAATCTTATCCTTCGCCAGCAAGAATTCCGAATTCCTGTACATTTTATTCGCCTTCGGCGTCCGTTTCTTCTCCTTCTCCAAATTATCAATCACCCCCGCCGCGTTGCTATTATCGCACACCGAAACACTCAGCTGATTATCAAACTTGCGTGCTGCAACTCTTCGACCCTCGTCCGCCTCGATCTTCGTCATCAAACTCCGAATCATATCCCGCTCGCCTTCCAGCTTCCTCCTCAACTCAACCGCTTCTCGTTTCGACTTCATGGATAAACTTATCCTGACCTTATCCGACTTGGATCTGACAAAATTATCCGGACCCAAGTCGAAACCAGAAGCCATAGCCACAGCTTCAACATTCGGCTGCTCCATCGATAAATTACTGTTTTCAATCCCTTTAAACGACGGCCTTCTACTGTAAACCTTACGCTCGCTCAACTTATCCTCCTCCGTCAAACCCTCATTTCCACCACCCAACATTTTCCGGCGATCTAACACAAGTATAAATAAATCCCCAAAATTCACAGAAAACACAAACTAAATTTACCACAACTAGCTCATCGGCACGTGTGATCTGCTGCTCCGCCGTTGCTACTAAGCGCCGCCGTGTTTACGCAGCAGTAATGAAGTTAAATTAGGGTTTCGGAAGCATACCTTTGGTAGATTTCTTCCCATATCTACAAACGGAGTTTCTTATCTTCGACGCAGGGGGGAAAGTGAGTTTTGGTAGTTCACGCGAGTTGACGGAGCGTGACAAAGACGAGCTATTTTTTTAACGGCTACGATTGCGTCGTGTTAAAAGTGAGCTGGCAATGGATGGTTGAAATTAACACGAGGTTTGGGGCAGTAGAGAAGTCTGGCCTTGCGAGTTGAAGGCTTCCCCACGCTCATAGGTGGCGCGTGTAAACGAGATTGCCTGTAGGAATAAGGGTAATTGCCGGTAATTGGGCTTACTTCTGTTGGGCTTTTTCCACGCATTGCATTTTCTAACGTTAAATTAACGGGGAAAATATAGAATATTCAAATTTATATTTTGAAATTAACTCTGCAAATTTGAGTTAAATTGATCTTCTTTGTAATTATTTTTGTTTGTCTAATTAATTTTTTTTTTTCTACTTTCTTAGTCATTTCCCTTTCTTTGTCAATGGAATCTTTGTAATTATTAATTTTTTTTTCTAACGTTAATTCTTTTTTTTAATTTCATGTGTTTAAATCATTATTTTCCTCACTTTTGACATGTCACCATGTACATCGCACGGGAAGAAATACTAACTATTTATGTAGTTTATTTCATATCTTAAATGGTTAAGTAGTTAATCAATGAAATGTATATATATATATATATATATATATATATATATATATATGATACTTGTTGTTGTATGTGTATTTGTGTCTATATTTAATTCCATGGTGTATGGTGCAGATTCAAACTCAAAAAAATGAGTTGATGAACTTGATCCTTTCCTATGATCATCTATATTTGGGATTCAACTTCTTTTGTTGGTTGAAGGCAATTAACAATTAGAGTTTTGGTGACACATTTATTGCTTTTCCAATGATCTTTGTTGTGCCTTTCTAATGATCTTTGTTGGATTACTTTTTCTTGTTTCGATTATCGATATTCTAAGTATCTGTTGATATCAAAGTTTTGAGATTAAATTATGAAATAGTAGCCCACTTAAATTGGTTATTATTTTGGTCTCAAAATATTGTCCACACCATATTTGGACTTTGCATATGTCCAGCTCATTACACAAGCGTGAAATCCTAACTTGTGCCTATAAAAGAAGGTCTTTGGTGCATGTAAAATTATACTCGCATAGACACATATCAAGCTCTCAAGCTAAAGTCTCGAGTCTTTACACCGAAATCATAACATATTTGAACTACTCAATGTGTTTATATTTATTCGATTTAAGAAAAGGCTTTTAATACCTTGAATTGATCTAGGAGAGAATCAGGGGAACTTCCTAAGATTGTCATCCATTTATCTGATTAATAAATTTATTTATTCCCTATTTTCATGTCTTGTATTTATATTTTGCAGGCTTGGAAATTTGTGGTTAACTGAACCATTGACGATATTCATGCATGTATCATACATTAAAAATGATATATAAAATAATATTAGTATCCAGATTAACGTTTTCTAAAAAATCGGACCAAGTCGAAGGTTATGTAAAACATTACATTTATATATAAAAATATACACTTGTAAATTTTTTTTCATGTTTTTTATTATTATATTTTTCATAATTAAAATTTGAATGTCCTTGGCGAAATTCCTGAATTCGCCTGCAACTCCAATGACATTTAATTCATTAAATTTATATGTTTCGGGTGTAAACATATGTTGCCATTGATCTGATCGCATCCTTCTTTTTATGTGTCCCTTCTATGTCAATTTATTACTCCCTTGTGATGTAAATAACAAATCACATCAATTTATTTATCGAAGAAGAAAATCTTTTTTTCCAATTTAAGACAAGAAATAAAGTCATAATTACAAGATTCATATATTACATATCGACATACATTAATCCGTCAGTAATTTGATTATTTTAGAAGATCGATGATCATGATTTTGGCGATTCGCATGGTTTTCGTCTCAACTTGACTGGCAATCTTGATCGATATTCGATAGCAATAGGATTAATGGGCCTTTCTCTGCATCTACAAACACATGGTTTTTAAATATAATAAAAACGAGGACAAAATGGCAAAAATCAAAAATTTCAAATTATTACATTAATAACCACCATTCCATAAATTGATATATGAAACAACAGAGTATCTTATTGGTAAAAGAATTGAATAAGAAAGGTGATGATCGTATCTCACATTTTCCTTTTAGAAGCATATTTTTATCGCCGTTGCTTCTTCCTAGTGCATTGGCCAACGATTCCATGTATAAAGCAAAAACCGTGCATGCAATTACTTATTATTACATTTTTATCGAAATGGAAGAAAAGTATGTTTGGAATTACATATGTTGTATTATTTAACAAATAATATTTCAACTATTGTCATCAATATATATTAAATGATTGTGAACAAGCAAAAACAAACATGAAATATTCAAAAAAAATTATCTACATTGAATGAATAGTCAATTTAATATGACAGGGATAAAAAAATATATAAAAAATAAGGAAGGCTAAACATGGCACACACTAATATTGCATGATACTTCACCCTCAGCAACCACACAATAAATATATATGATTCATATAATAGTTATTCATAAATAATTTAATGTAGATTATTTCATCATCAAATAAAGTAAATTATGAATTGATGAGCACACAAATATATAATGTATTTATAACCATGGGTCCCATAAGGCTACTTGAAAATCTTTAAGATTTACTTAAATGTGAAAATTCATTATCTATACGTGTAATTCCACTTGCATTTATGAATAATAATTTAACTTTCATTTCATATACTTGTAGGCGTAATCGAAAATGCCAAAATAAATAAAAGAATCTTTAAACACTAACTGCAGACAAGTGATAAACTAAGGATTAATTACTCACGTATTATCTTGTATATAAAAGGAAAATATTTTGAACTACAACCCTAAACCTAACCTAGGGGCAATTTCGTAATTTAATCTTTCTTATATAAAAAGGAAGATATTTTAAACTACAATCCTAAACCTAACCTAGATCCTAAACCTAACCTAGGGGCAATTTTGTAATTTAATAAACATCATTATTAAATAAATGACTTCCCTATATTTATGGACCCCATGTTTCTAATTTTCTGCCAATACATCGTCTTCTATTTTTTTTAATATCATATTTAAATACATGAATTCTCTATATTTGTGGACTCCATGTTTCTTATTGTTTTTGTAATTTAATAAATATCATATTTAAATACATGAATTCCCTATATTTGTGGACCCCATATTTTTAGTTTTCTGCCTTATATTTGAACACACTGTCTTCTATTGTTTTTTTTTTAATTTTTTTTAATATCATATTTAAATACACGAATTCTCTATATTTGTGGACTCATGTTTCTAATTTCCTGCCCTATATTTGAATACACCGTGTTCTATTTTTATTTTATTTTCTTAATTTTCATTCTCCTCTTTAACCACCACTAACTCATCTTCATACCATGATCTCGACCCATTACCCATTTCATTGTTCTATTTAAACTCACGAGAACTCCACCAAAAATCACAATTTTTTTGCCAAGCCTCCTCTTCTTGCTCATTTAAAATTTTGTTTGTCTTCTTCTTCCTCACAAACTAGTTTCAACGTAACCAATTGCTTTCTACAGGTAAACAATACAATATTTGTTATTTAAATTTATTTACATCATATGTTTAAATTTCACATCTTATAAGAGTTGCTAAAGATTCTGATTTTTTTGTACAACTCAAGCATAATTTCTGCTCACAATGACTCTCCGTATGACAGTCATATGCCTTCATGTAATTCATAAACATATTATGCCATTTATTTTTTTATTTTATAAACTCATTATCTTTTATCACTTCAGGGGTTACCGTCTGTTAACGTTGGAGGCACAACAATTATTGCAACATTGGTCGCATTTCTTGGAAAGGTGTTCCAACGTTTCGGTGGGAAACCTTGCGTTAAAACAGATTTCACTACAGTACAATCCACTAACGTATTTGTGAAAGAAGAATCTGAATCAAATTTCTCATGGAATTTGTCATATTGTAAGGAAATCTCAGCAAACAAGTTATTTTTAAGCTCCGTATATTGTGACCACTGTCTGGAGCGTGCCAGAACGTCTGAATTGGTGCGTTGCATGTATTGCAATATCACCACAATGCGCCGAGAATGTCTACAAGCAATGGTGGCGAATCAATGTGCACTTGATTTTGATAATCCTAATTGGAGATGGATCTGTAAAATTTGCGCAATTAGATTTGCTTTTTTTTTATCAATTGTTTTTTGCTTGAATATACAGTTGAAGTGTTTTTCTTATTGTTAAATTTTTATTACAGTTGAGCTGTGTTTTTTTATTGTTATATTTTCATCACCGATGTAAAAAGTTTGATTAAGACAATTTTAATGTTTTCTTAGCCAACATACATCAGATATTTGTGTACTTTTCTCCATTTATTACTATCAAGCGACTTATACAATTTATTTACATACTATAATTTTTTTCTCTTTTTTCTTTTAATTAGATCTTATTAGATAAAAATTTCAAGAGTTTCCTGAAAAAAATTATGCATATTCATATATAGGCAAATAAACTCAGATGTTACCTAATATAATATAATCTAGTTAATATTATATATTTAATTTCATTAATATAGTAAATTAACACCGCAAATTCATCTTTCATAGTCACTAAAAATTTTATAAATAAAATTTGTAGGAGTTATGGTCAAAGACATGATGAATGCATTCTAACATATGAACAAATTTAATTTTTAAGAAATCAAAATTTCGATAAATTTTGAAAAATCAGATTAAAAACTTTCATAATTAAAAAAAAAATAAGTTAGTGGGATAAAAGTTTTTTTACATTAAAGCTCATATCTAATTGTAATCACCCATAACACAGGTAACCAAAGTTTCCATAAATTTTGAAAAATCAGATTAAAAATCTTTATAATTTAAAAAAAAATTAAGTTAGTGGGATAAAAGTTTTCGTATATACATTAAAGCCCATGTCTAATGTAACGACCACACGTAACCACCCATAACACCCACCCATAGCACACGTAACCCCATAGCACAGACCCACTACTTCACTACATGTTGGGTTTTTATTGTTTAATTTATTTATTCGCAGGAGAATTATATTTCCTGGGTTGTTTTTTAGATGATCAATTTCCTATCCACTTTCCCACTACTTAGGTGGTTACCGTGTGTAAAACACAACCGAAACATCGGTTTTTTCTATATATATTATACATATTTCATTCTCACACCCTATAGCTCATTCACTTTT